TAAATTCTTAAGTCTTTTAGTTAGTTTTTAGTATTTAACTTTAATATTTCTTTTATTCTTCATCAATTATCCTCTTCCATTCGTAAACTAAAGCAATTGTTTACGAGTTGCTAGTTGTAAATTGCCTTTTGGAAAATAAAATTAGCCCAAAAGGTCGATTAGTAACATCGTGAATTATAGAGAACTTAAGGGTTTTACAGAAAAAGTTATGGAACTAGTTAGGAATCCTTATTCAAAGTTCATTGATGTTGACCTTCCCAAAACGCATTTCAATCTCCGGCTTCTTGGATTAGCAAAGGAAGGACGTATAAAAAGACCTGCCATTTCTTCTGTTAAAAATGGGTTTAAAAATCTAGAAGATTATTTGGTTCAACCAAAATCGAATTATTCTGTGATCTGACCACAAACCTTTTCGGAGGAGAGGCCAGCAGAAGAAAAATACCAACCTATCGATGATGATAATGCCTTGGTTAAGGGAGCCAATTTAATTATTGCAAATTACAGGTGGCTTAAGATTGAAAGAACTGAGAAAGGATTTATCAACTTTGAAACACAATCTGTTAAAGAATATCCTATATGTGATATTAAACATGAAAAAGACCAACTCTATGGATTTATTCGAAAAAATGGTCATTTTATACTCAAGTGCTATTGACAAAAACAGTATAAGCCAGATCACAAGGGCCTTAGTTTCGATAAGGTATCAGACAAAGTCAAATCAATATTGAAGCCTAAATTGGGATTAAATGAAAGAATCGCCAAAGCTGTATTAAATCTACGTCCACTTCCTAAATTACCTGAAGAAGTTATTAATGTAAAGAAAATGGAAAATGCTTCAGAAGTTTATCCCAATTTCTTGAGTAATGAACCTAGTACAACTTTGATTCGCTTTCCTATGATAACAGGAAAAACGAAAGGTTTAAGAAAGAATATTGAGACTTTATCTAGAAGTGGAACGCAATTACCTGCTATTATTTGGATCTCTTATCGAAAAACTCTTAGTAACGAATCACAAGGAAAAATTAATGAACTCAAATTATTGGGGCTCAAAATTTGTAACTACCAAGATGAACAGAACTTATCTGTAGATAAATGGGATGTTATTATAGTTCAAGTAGAGAGCCTTTCTCATATCGAATTCTCATCTTGTCTTATTATAGCAGTTTTAGATGAAGTCAATGCAATTCAACACCAAATGAATAGCGGTTCAAATGCGCGGGAATCTGAAAATGCAATGTGTGATGTATTAAGATCGGCTCAACACGTTTTAGCCATAGATGCATTTGCAAATGAAAGTACACTAACATTCCTTAAGGCTTATCGCGGTGAAAATATCCGAGTGATTGATAATAAATTTTAGCCTCTTATAGGTAAGACCATTAAATATCTTCCCAATTCAAATACTGGAGCTGAAGTTATGCGAATAGGGTTTGAGTATTTAATATAAGGTAAACGCGTGGTATTTGTTGTAATAAGTTCTAATATGGCTCGAGCATTAGTAGAAAAGGCTTCTAAATTATTAATACAACTTGGGGCAAACTTGATTGTGTAGCTTATACCAATACAGTAGAAGTAGGTATTTCTTTTGAGAAACCTAATCACTTTGACATAGTTATAGGCATTACAAATATTGCAACTTCAGTTAATGTAGAAGCATTTATTCAGATGATGTTCAGAATTTGTGATTGTGAAAAGCGTATACTTTCTCTTTATTATCAAAAATTTCCAGTGAATTTTCTCGTTCACCAGGTTATGAAAATATTCATGCAGAACTTGCAGTTACCCGGCCCAACGATTTGCCTACTGCAATTAAAGGACATCGTGAATGGGATATATATAGCATTTCCTATAAACTTGATCAATCTCCTGCTGTAACATCATTTATTGAAGTTGAGCATCAGAAACGTCTTTCAGCTAGAAATTTTATCGAGATTTCATGTAGCCTTATTGTTAGTACAGGAGCAAGTCTCAAACTAATAAAAATGGATGAGAGTCGAGGAGTTATAGAAATTCGTAAAAAGATTCGTAATGAAATTAGGGCCGAAGTATCAGTTATCAAGCATACAGATTTTGAAGCAATCGCCACTTCTCGAAATCTTACTTCTGAGAAAGCTGAAATTCTTAAACTCGATTCAGAACGTTCAGTTGTAGAACTATGGCACTTAAGCATTTTTATATGTGGAATCTTTATGGTGGAAATGATATGAGTATCGAGGATTGGAATAAACTCTGCGATAAAGATTTTGTAGAACATTTTAGTTCACCTGAACCTAGAAAACATTTCTTGCGTTTATCTCATTTTTGCAAGCAAGGTTATAACGGAGACAATACAATAGAAGAATTAAAGGCCAAAGATCTTGCACAATGGGAAAATACATGCTATAATGCTAAAGATAATTTTGAGAATTCAGTAGCAAAAGATTTACGCAAAACATATTCAGTGAATCATTGGGAAGCTGTACGAGGACTTTTACAGTCGCTTAGTTTTACGGGTATGGATGATAAGCGTATTCTCTCTGATGATCAGGTAAAAGTTACGTTTGAAGTATACCTGTCACCCAAATTCAAAATCCAAATGCCGAAATTCCAAATGCCAAAATTTCAAATCCCAAATTCCAAATTATGATTAGTATTTTTTATCGAAATCCCAAATCCCAAATTCCAAATACTAGTAATTTGGAATTTTGGCATTCCAAATTCCAAATGATTTGGGATTTGGGCAACACATATAGTTTGAAGCATCTCGTGAAAAATTTATAGAAATTCGAAGTCAAGCTTTATTGCTCTTTGGCTTTAGGTCTCGTACAAAAGAAATGCCAGATCTTAAATCAGCTGTAAAGGCAATCAATGTAATTGTTGGCAATTGGTGTGGTTATACTATAAAAAGTAAACGAAAATTAATAGGACCTAAAGAAAAAAGAATTTGAAAATATTTATATCAAATTAACCGAAAGCCATATAATAGTCATGGTTTTGATAATCAAGAAGAAGTAATGATTAGGAAGTTAGATAATTCTGAATACTGCCCTATAGTTCCAGTTCTTCCATCATATAAGCCAAAGGTAAGTGATGAGATTCAGGACTTTTTCGATTTTATAACTATTACTAACAATACTACTTTAGAATATGCTGAGTGTGAAATTTCTGACTCGTCTAGTAATGCGATTGATGAAAAAACTTTATCTTTGCCGGAGGCAGTTACACAGCAGTTAAAAATGCCAGCTCAAGATGTATGCTATGTTAATACTATTAATGAAGCCGGTACAGCTGAGAAAAAAATATCTGAATCTCTAATTTCTTTATCTTCAGAATATCTTATCAAAAACGAATCTGATATAGATATCCTTATTCATCTTTTACAACAAAAATTCCAAATGTCTCAAGAAAAATTAGATCAATGGAGATTCAAGATTGCTCTTGAAATGTGGGATAACCAAAATTACTGGAAAAAAGAGTGCGAAATCATGAATAAAATTAATTTCTTGGATTACAAACAGAAGTTTGAAGCTAAAATGAAAGTTCCTATCACTCTGCACAAAAAAGAGTTGAAAAATAAATCTTTAGCTTTCATTAAATATGCATAATTGTTATTTCAAAATAATATAATTAGAATACTCTGGCTAGGAGTATATCTAGTTATATATTTTGGGTAAGGGATTTTTGTCACCTCTTACAATAAGTATGCAGAAAAATTCAAATCAAAAATTAATGCCCGATACTTAGATTATATAAAGGGTTTTTGTGTCATGCGATTTTGGATGATAGGATTTAGATGACCAGACACTTATCAAAGTGGGTTTTTGGGTCGCGGAGAGTAGTCATCATCCGGAACTAATATCAAGACACATAGTATCATTAAACAGATATCAAAAAAGTGATACGCAAAAGAATACATAAGTCATCGCCCGGTTCACCTACTTGCCTAGTTGAGATGAAATTTTGATAAATGCTTCTGATATATGAGGTAAGGTAAGTTGTTACATTACATAATATTATTATGATTTTGCGATATAATCATTTTTGTGTTGTATAATTTCAATCGAGGTGGAATTTCAGGTAAGTGATATGTAATAGTGAAGCCTATGTCAGCTGGAAGTTGGTTCAAACTTTATATATCATTAAACAGATATCGAAAAAGTGATACGCAAAGGTAAGAAAAAATTTGAGCTTTTACGTATCATTAGGTAGAAAACAGCGAAGCTGACATGAAGTGTTAAAAAAGGTGATATACATTAGTAAGAAAAAATTGAGCTTTTACATATCATCAGGTAGATATCAGAAAAGTGATACGCAAAAGAGTACATATAAGTATGACCTGATTTTTTTAGTATCTTATATTAGCTTCACTACTGTAAAGTAGTAATATTCGAACTACTAACTATGCGAGAAGAGTTTTCAAAACTGAAAAATATAGTAAACTTTTGGTGATACGCAAAGGTTGAATATTATAAGGAAAGAGGTAAGAGAAAATCGTACTTTTACGTATCATCAAAAATAAGGATCGGATAGTATAATTCAGATACAAAAAAAGTGATACGCAAAGGCAGAATATTATAAGGAAAGAGATAAAATAAATTTTTGCTTTTACGTATCACCAAGTAAGGGTAACAATTTGGCACTATATACCTCATTATCGGATACTTTGGTGTATTACCAGATAGGATAACAATTCGGCACTACGTGCCTCAGGTTTGATATATTTTTTGTCATCCCAAAAACCTTCCAGGTGGAACTATTTCGGCACTACGTGCCTCAACTCTGGCTTTCATCGAGGAATTAACCAGAAAGCTAGGGCACTACGTGCCCAGTTCGAACATAGCCCTCATATCGGGCCCACAAATGACAATATATGATTGAATGCATCGTTACCCCAATATATGTCAGTTCGAATGCAGCCTAAAAAGCAAAATGCATGTCATTTGAATGGCGAGGCAAAAGCAAAATGCACGTCGCACAGGCGCATGTCTCAGCGGCTCTCAAGTGACGATACAAATGTAACCTATATAACATATAATATATGTCAGTTCGAGTGTAGCCTAAAAAGCAAAATGCACGTCATTCTCGGGTGGGTTATAGTTCACACTAAGTGGTATAATAGCGAGTCTTTACAGACTCGCTATTATACCACTCATGACTAAATGCAATATCAGATATATGTTATTTTTTTACATGTGGTCAAATTTATAAAATACATCACCTTCAAACCTTCAAGTGTAACCAAAAATATAATATAAACCACATGATAATAGTATACCTGCCACCCAAATTCAAAATCCAAATGCCGAAATCCCAAATGCCGAAATCCCAAATCCCAAATCCCAAATTATGATTAGTATTTTTTGCCGAAATCCCAAATCCCAAATACTAGTAATTTGGGATTTTGGCATCCCAAATCCCAAATGATTTGGGATTTGGGCAACACGTATAGATAATAGTAACCAATTTCTGTTATCAGATCACATGATGATGGTGACCAATTTCTGTCATCAAGTCACATACCTAAGTAAGCTAAGTGGAAATAACATAATTATGTTATTTCTACTAATGCAATTAAAATTGGAAGAGTTATATGAAAATTGATACAATTGATGTAATTGACATAATTATTTATAGACGCAATTCAAATTTCAGGAATTGGGTCATATGAAAATACAATTATTAACAGAGTCAAAGGCTTTTAACAATTTAATTTTATTGATTTAATAATGTAATGATTTTTTTTTTTGATGTATTATATATATATATATATTTAACCATTTTAACCTTTTTTGAGACATTTGAGACATTTTTTAACCATTTTAACCATTTTTGAGATATAATATTTAATTACGTGTCGCAATAACTAAATTTATTATACTATTTCAAGCAATGATCATCATATCAACATATCAAACTCATTAAGACGCGATTTATCATGACGCGATTATTTATACTCCCATCTAAAAATTTACATAAACGGCTCGGTAATTCTTTGATAACTTTTTGCCTTTCGGCTTTCAAAATTTTGAATCTCAATACTATTAATTATTTATCACCACTTTCAACAACGATGAGTAAGTATTTTGTTTACTTTCAAGAATATTTTTCGTTACGTCTTTTAATCCAAAAATTATTATCCTATATATTCAATAGATTCGAAATTTGAGGTAAATGACTAAAATTAAATTTTCATTAGAAATGAAAAGAAAAAAATCGACCAGTACTAAGGTTAATAAAACAAAAATATTAATCACTCTGCAATTCTATTTATTAGGAAAGCGATGAAGAAGGGGAACTCGCTTTTATTGATGACTCTGTAAGATCGTCATTATTTATTGTATTTTTTTTAGAATTTTATCAATAAATTCTTCATCTGGGAATCAATAGGAAATCGATGAGAATGAAATATCCAAATTTATTAATTTGAACCAGCGATCAAATTCTCACATAAATACGCGTGACGTTGCTTTGCAAGATGGCGATGATAGTGATGACGACAGTGATGACGACAATTATGATAGGGATATAATGAAAAAATATGATGCAAAATTACCTAAAGAAATCAAGGATTTCGAAATTATCGTGAAGACCAAAAAACATTCATTGGTAAGAATTGATCTTTAAATAAATAAAAAAAAAAAATACCAGATTTTCATCTAAGACGTGTACTTATATGATTGGATAGATAAATGAAATTTATGTAGATGTCCCGGCAAGGAAAAAAGTCAGAAATGCATATAAATCTAAAAATATTGTGGAGGAAGTAGGTAATACTGAGGAGGAATGCCTTTTGACATTATTGGTGAGATTTTTTATAATGAATAATCAATTTAAAATGCAATGCTGCGTTAGACTTTGATTGTTCATATAAATTTAATTCCACTAGAATGAAGAAGATTCATTGGGTATATGTGATGGTGATTACATAAAGTTTGACCTCAATGAATTTATAATATATGATGATAATGAACGGGAGGTTTGTAGGCATCTAATTATTTTCTTGATATAAGCAAATTATATTGAATTCTAGAAAATACTAAAAATGTTCCCCCAGATCACCGATCTTTGGCCAGAAAAAGAAACTAAAAAAATTTACTGGGATGGATTAATAACAGATGGGAATGAGAGAATTTTGTGCAGAAAGGTAGAATATTTTATAATTTTATCATTTAAATTAATATTTTGATTCAAACAAAAGATACTTGTATACATTTTTTCTTTTAGGGAGTTTATTGTACCTTTTCAATTAGTGGTTATGGTACTGAAATATCTGATGTGGAAATCATGATCCAGTCTAGTCTTGATCCAAATGTGTGGTACAATCTACTTAAACCACAGCAGATGTATCAGAAATTGTGGACATCATTTTTGTGGAAAGCACGTATGGTCAAATATGTGCTAGATTTCATTCATGAGAATCCAAACTATTTATTTTGTGATCTCAAAGACCAATTTTATAAGTGGATATCAAGTCAACGTTCAAATGAAACTGTTTTTAATGAATGGATCAATGCTGTAAATGGCAACTTTGACTTTAGGTCAGTTGTTGCCAATAATATTGATCTTTTGTGGCATCAAGCACATAACCTTGGGGAAGATTATTCAGATACTAAATTCTTTAATGGTATGATATTGGCAAATCAAAATATCTACTAGTGAATCTTTTTTAAATATTTTGGTGAAACCTTTTAATCTCTTCACTATTTTTTTTTATCAGATGAATTTTGTCCTCTTGCATGGAACAATGGTGCTGGTGGTGTATGTTATTACAATATTATTATTAAAGTATATTTTAAGGAGTCATGTCTAATTAAAAAAAAAAAAAATTATTATTATTTTTTTTTTAGTCAAATAAAATGGAAAAAACAGTTGTTACTCCTTCGGTGTATAAATGGTTTGTGGATGAATTCCCTCAGTGTTTATTGCTATTAGGTATTTGATATTTGATATAAATTACTATTACCTAAAATACAAATTATATTTAACCTAATTAATTTATTAAACTGGTTAAAAAGATTCTGATCAAGATGATCAAGAGGAAATTAATGATTGTTGTGAAAGAAATGAACAATCCAAGGAAGAACCATGTTTGTACATTCAGAGTGATCAAGAGTATCATGAATACAAAAAAATCGACCACTCAAAAGAAAGACCTTATTTTGAAGGGTGTATATCTGAAGAAGAGCAACTCTATGAAAAAGTAATAATAGATGGCGTAACTTTTGAGATAGGAGACGCGGTTGAAATTTATCCCGATGACTCATCTCAGAGGGATCGATGGTTTTGGTAATAATAAAAAATTAACTATTATTAAATTTCCAATTATTCAAATTAATTAATTATTTATTTATTTTATATATATATTTTTTATCTCAGTTATATAACCGAATTACATCGAAAAGGTAATAGCGGCACATTTCGTTTAGTTTGGCTTTACACACGAAATCAGACGATTTTATGCAATCTTAAGAAAGACAAAAGTTCGAAAAATTTAAGAGAGGTTTTTTTCACAACTCATTGCGAATGTGATTCCAAGACACCTATGACCATAGAATCTATTATCCGTAAAGTAAAAGTTGAATATGACGAATCGGCCTGTTCAGGTAAGAGATATTATTCATTCTAAGATGTTAGGATCAATCAATTTGATTATTAGGATAAAATTCTAAATAAGCTGCATAGTCAAACATTTTTTTTTTTCGTATTTTGGATAAAATTTTTGAATCAAAATCACATTTATGTGTTTTTGTGACAGTAGAATTAGAATTATTAGAAGAGAAAATTAGATTTTTTTTTTTCAAAATCATTAAGACATGAAAGATAAATATAAATAATTTTGAATTTTATACATTTTAGATTATTTTTATGATGAATATTCGTTATTTTGTCGATATTATTATCGTCACGTACAAACCGATGGTGCATTCCTAACTTTTCGTCCGGAAATGCTCAATTTTAAAAGCGGAAATCTTATATGTGGATGCCATCGCCCAAAGCTTTCACGTTTTGTTAGATTTATCAACGAATACGAAGTGGGGGATTGTATTTTGATTAAACCTCGAAGTGGTGACAATACAAATTTATATACTGTATGCTATATAGAACAAATTGATTCCGAAAATGAACTCGTGAAATTAAGGAGATTTTATCGGTTCTGTGAAGTATCAATAATTAGTTCACAAAAAATTGCCATTAATGAGCTACTTTACTCTGATTATGTATTTGATTTTAATCATTATCGGAGTGTTGTTCGAGGATGTCACGTTGAATATGTTAAATATGGGACGACGTTACCAGTGAATCTTTTACATAAAGGGTCGGCTAATCATGTAAGTATAATATTTACAACGTAAATAATTGATAAAGAATCCGCCAATCACATAGTACAATATTTACATATTATAATTTTTTATATAGTTCTTTTTTTCTCGGAAATATGATACAGAAAATAAGTCAATAAGGCCTATCAAATCTGATAAAATGGCCGCTAAATTTACTGATTATAAGTACAAAACTGGACACATTTGTCGACTTAATGGTTTGGATCTTTTCTGTGGGGGAGGTTCATTAGGTCGTGGATTTGAGGATGCTGGCATTGTAAAATGTAAATGGTAAGTATTTGTTCACTTAATTATTATCCTTATTATTATCATTTTTATTACAATGAAATAATTTTCTGTAATAGGGCCATAGACAAGGATCCATTTGCTCTCAAAACATATCGTCATAATGCACAAGGAGATGATATCAAGATCATAAATGAAAGTGTTAATAAAGTTCTGTCCGATGCCATTTTGGGTAAAAACAGTACTGACATCCCTGATAAAGTAAAAAATAATAATAATAATAATTTTTTTTTTGAAATTTCCAAGCCAATTCAATATTAACTTTATTCAAAATTTTGTGAAGGATGAAATAGATATCATACTTGCGGGATCACCTTGTCAGGGGTTCAGTTACATGAATAAACATAGAGGAAGTGACAAAAGTCAAAGTAACAATTCTTTAGTTGCATCAGTAGCTTCTTTTGTGGATTTCTATAGACCTCGATATTTCTTGTTGGAAAATGTAGCAAGGATAACAAGAACATCAGGTAATTTTAATTTATTTGATAATTTTGTAAAAGTATATATATATATATATATATATGTATGTATGTATGTATGTATGTATGTATGTATGTATGTATTAATCCTTGTACTTTATTCTAGTTTTCATGCACTTATTGGCATGTCTACTAGAAATAGGCTATCAAATTAGATTTAACGTAGTATCCGCTGCGCAGTTGGGATGTTCACAAATACGTCATCGTGTATTTTTATGGGGAGCTGGTAAATTTGATTTTAAGAAAATATTTCGTATTAATTTTATCAATTGTTTTTTTTTTTATTTTATTTCGATAAATGACGTTATTATTGAATTATCAAATAAATAAAAAAAGCTAAAGATGAGGTATTACCTGAAATGCCACCGACTACACATCATTATAAAAAACGATCGGGAGCTCACAGAGAACTCTTGGAAATGGGTAATTCCCTTCGGTATGTTTAATTAATTTATTTTTTTTATAAAAGAATTCTATAAATTTAAAAATTAAGTTATTTAATTTATAAATTAGTCTTCAGGGAGTTCAAGATGAAAAACATGCTAGCCTTCCAATGATAACCATTAAAGATTTAATTGGCGATCTCCCAGAGATCGATACCGGAATTTATTGGGATCCTGCATATCCAGATCATAGAACATATAACTTAAGTTTAAAATGTAAAGAGATACTTCGTCGGGTCCCAATAGATCCACCTTTGAGTGATTATTATCTTGCACGGAAGCTCAAATTAATTCCTGATATACATTCTCACGCGAGTTATGATGCCAAAATAAAGAAGTATCCATCTTGTAATTATAAATATTGTCAACGCATAGATAAAGATGATGTGTTTGTGACCATATGCACAGTCATGAGTAAGCTTTTTTAGTTTATTTAGTTTACGAGATATTTTTTTTTTAATTTTTTTATAATTCCAAAGATTTCCCTCTAATATATATATATCTCTCTTTTTTTTATATTGTCTCAGGATGCAATGGATTTGTATGTTATTTTCTATATTATGATTTGTTTACATTATATATATATAGTTATATATTTATTTATTTATTATATAATCTGTTTTTAAAAGTATCCGCAAATCGTTCACTATTGCGAACCACGCGTTATAACAGTTCGAGAAGCGGCACGTGCGCAAGGTGGGTTTGTATTACTTAACACAAATTTATGGGGATTTATTATTCATTTATTTTTATTTCTTAAAGGTTTCTTGGAAACGGATATTTTATGTGGCAAAGTTTCCGATCAATATCGCATTGTTGGTAACTCCGTACCACGAAACATCGCATTTTCTCTTGGAATACAACTATGTAAAGCAATGACTGACCCGAACCATAAGTCAAACCCTAGGAATTTTCCGTAAGCATTTAATCTCAATATTTATTCAACACATCATTTAATAAAATTCTCATTTAATCAATTTCTCTCATTTAATAAAATTCTAATTTAATCAATTTCTCTCAATTAATCAATTTCTTTCTTTAAAAAGAATATATGATTAGAACAATGGATGTTTATTTATTTAGTCATTTTCAAAAAATTTCTTTAGACAAGATTATTAAATAAATTTTGTATAATAGCAAATTTGTCTATTATTTGAATAATAATAATAATAAGGAAATCCAAATCAAGGTAAAATATAAAATGATTTAGAGACAAAATTAGTAAAAGATTTTAAGTTCCCATAGATTCTTTTTTTTTTTTATATTTGAAATTATAAATAAAGTATTAGTAATACATTTGTTTAATACATTTAATAGATTTCATTAAGTAACAAATTTGTAGGTCTTTTTTGAAATTTCATTCGCATATACTGTATTTAAAAATCATTTTAAGGTTATCTTTATTTCCATAAAACTAATAAAATTAATGAGTGTTGGAAAATCTATACTTTAATAGCCAATGAAAATGAATTTTCCTTATGTATGCGATAAATATCGTAACGTGTCTATTTAAGATAGGCCATAAATATTTTAAAACTAAACCTTATTAGAATGAATAGCGATATGTCATAAAAAAAATTCAATTATTTTTTTTTTTATATACAATTATTTAACTTTGATGATATAACTTTTACCTTGACTTTCTCTTTAAACCTGTATATTTTAAAAAATTAAAGAAAACATCAAAAAAAACAAAAGGAAACAAACTCAATAGGGTGATTAACAAAAAGCCTTGATAATAACAGAAGAAGTTTACAAATAAAAAATAATAATAATGGAACAAGTTAGACGATACACGTCAAAAGCTGAAGATGTTCTTACTACAATCTCTCAACCATTGAAACCTCATATTCCTGTAATTGCTCGTTTTCTCATTGTGGTAACATTTTTGGAAGACGCGTTTAGAATATTGTTTCAGTGGTCAGAGCAAATATTTTATCTTGAAAGAATTCGAGGAATTCCGTGGGGAATGTCACAAATCTTCTTGGCGGGTAATGTTATTGTAAGTTTTTTTTTTTAAAAAAAAAAAAGAAAAAAAGGTTAATTGTTAAATTATTTGTACTCACGCTTTAATATAAATATATATCTCTATATATATATATATATATATATTTATATATTTATTTATTTAATTATTTATTTATATATTTATATCTATATATTTTTAGTTTATGCTTGTAGGATCTTTTTTTGTTATTAGAAAAAAATATCCAGAATATGCGGTTGGAGGTCTTTTTATGGTGGTGGTTGCTCAATCGATTGGATATGGTCTTTGGAATGAAGTCAATTTTTTATTAAGAAGTCTTTCGGTAGTTGGTGGTTTATTAATGGTACTCTCCGACGCGTTTTCCAAAAAGAAATCAGTTTTTGCTGATTTACCACAATTATCCGAGAGAGATCGTAAAACATATTTTCAATTGGCTGGACGTGTTTTATTGATTTTCTTATTCATAGGTTTCATTTTCCATGGTGAATATTGGTCAGTTACTCGAGTTGTGGTTTCCTTGATAGGTTTTGTGGCTTGTTTAATGGTGGTAGTCGGTTTAAAGACCAAATGGTCTGCAATATTTTTAGTTCTTTTCTTGTCAATTTTCAATTTACTTATTAATAATTTCTGGTCGGTTCATCACGCAAATCCACAACGAGACTTTTTGAAATATGATTTCTTTCAAACTCTTAGTATTGTCGGAGGATTATTGTTATTGGTAAATATGGGTCCAGGTGGAATTTCCATTGATGAGAAGAAGAAAGAATATTAAAAAAAAAATAATAATGCAGAGAGAGAGAGAAATATTTAAATATGGGGAAGAGTTTTACCTAATAAAATATTTTTATTTTATTTTATTTTATTGATGGACAATTTTATTTTTTTAAAAAAAATAGCTCATTGAAATAATCCTTGAATAATCTTGTATTTTTTTTTTTTATTTTTTTTTTATTTAGGCATAATTCTTATAACTAATTATTTGTTAAAAATGATTATATACAGAATCTTTTTATTAATTCATGTATAATTTAATATTTACATTTAAATGAAGTCAATATTTCAATTTTCCCAAATAATTTATTTCAATTTTAAGGATTTAAAAAATTGTAAAAAAAGAAATAATAATAATAATATGTATTGTATCTTAAAAGAAAAAAAAAAGGTAATTAATTAAAATTAAACAAATAAAGATAAATTTATAATAATCCAGATCGATTCTTGACTCGGCCAAAATTTTAAAGGATCTACAGTTTAATACTGGTAAAATCCAAGTCAAGGTATCGATCTGAGTTACAACATATCAAAAAAAAGTGAGATATATTTCGTTTACGTCTTAAAGAAAATGGAAGGAAAATATATAAAATACTTTGAAAAAAGCACTATCAACTCTTTTATGGTAAGGGCATTGAAATAATAACTTTTTTGAAAGTATATGTATAGAATTTAATATCTTGAGAATGTGACTCTAGACCCCAAAAAGAATATAATTAAATAAATTAAAAAAAAAAACTCGGAATTTTAGAAATAAAAATAATTGAATGATTTCATATTTGCATCATTATGAATAATAATGGTAATAATGAATAAATAAAATTTTTTTCAATATCAAATATATCATAATTGCGTAATAATTAAAACATTATTTAAATGGATCAATTTTTTACTTATTTAATTTGTTTTTTCTCATTCAAAAAAAAAAAAACAATTAATTTTAAAGGTGAGATAGTAATTTTTTGTTTAATGATTACAATTAAATGTTTATGGATGATAATTTAATTAATTTTTTAAGGCACTTGGTAAAAATAATAATTATTAAATAATAATAATAATAATAATAATAATAATAAATTATAATGACGCGAACAAAACAAAATATAGCTCCAGGTAGTGTTAGACAGGATCGTCATTTTCAAAGGTAAAAACTTTATTTCTTTATTAATTAATTAATAAGTGAGATGATTAATTATTATTATTATTATTATTATTATTATTATTATTATTATTACTATTATTATTATTTTAGAAGTGGAATTTTAGATCCTCGTGGATTACCTAAGAAGGTATTTATTTTTTATATTATGAATAATGACATAATAGTTTATATTTATTTTTTTTTATTATTTAATATAATTTTTTTTTTAGAAAGGAGAAGGTCAACATAATTGGGGAAAACCTACAGATGAAGTTAAAGAATTACCTGAAGATCTTAATGTTCGAACTGCAGAAATGCATGAGAATAAATTAAAGGTAAAAATATATAATAATATAATAATATAATAATATAGTAATAATTATTATAATTATTTATTACTTTTAAATTTATAATAATTATAGGTGGTTGATCCAAAAGAATTTGAAATACTTCAGAATGCAGCAGCTAACCTAAAGGAGGAATCTTAATTAAATAAGTAAATCGTTCTCTTTCTCAATAGAAATTGATTATTTCTATAAATTTTTAATCTTCTTTTTTTCTTTTCTTCTTTTCTTCTTTCTTTTTTCTTTTTTTTCCTTTATTTTGATTTTTACGCGATTCATTGCAAATGTATATTATATTCATTAATAATAAAAACTACGTGTGATAATTTACATGGGAGATAATATGTTGAGAAGTGTTGTCTTTAAAGATTGTTTTCTGATAATTGTTATTCTCACCGTAAATATTCTCATACACAACATTATCTCTTACTATCGAAAGAAAGAAAGAAAGACGGAGCTAAACCGATTACATACACTAATTTATACTAATCTAAAATGTTGTTTGTTTTTGTTGAAATATGATACAATTAAATATTAATTTATTCAAACATTAACATTTTTTTTTTTTTTTTTTTAATTTTATTATCTATCTCTATTATCTCTATTATCTCAATTATCTCAATTATCTATCTTTATCATCTTTATTATCGTATTTTTTATATTATTGTCTTTTTTATTATTGTCTTTTTATAGTTGACTTTTTATAGTTGGCTTTTTTTTTATAGTTGGCTTTTTATGGTTGGCTTTTTATTATTGGCCTTTTTTTAAAAAAATTACTTACTGGCTTAACTAGTTTTAACATCATTCTACAATCAAACCTTCCTTTATTTATTTTAATTAATTTAGCCGATAACGATTTCAAACCGATTTATGCTTTAAGATTTCCTTTATTTAAACCATAAGTGTTTAATTTAAAAATAAAAAAACGTGATTTCCCAAAAAATATAAACAATTAATTCAAATAATTAAAATAATTCAAATAACTAAAAAAATATCAAATATATAGATATTTATATTATTGTAAATAGATTGGATTAGTGGTGGTTGTAATTGAACAAAAATAATTTGCAAATAGTAATTTGCATAAATAATAAATTATAAATAGTAAATTGCATTTAAACCAATAATTCAAAAAAAAAAAAAATAGTTGTAAACCTTAAAATGGAATCATTAATTTGATTCATTGAATCCAACTTTGAATAAATAAAACTTAACTTTGAATGCTGTGCATTGTATACATTTGAGTTTTTATTTATATATATGAAATAAATATATAAATTTTGAGTAACCAAATTTAATTTTTATGTAATCCCAATTTCGGTATACTTTTTATGCTTTTATGAAACTAAAAGCATAATTTAATATAATTTTTATATCTATAATAAATATTGAACTAGTTTGTACGTGTAAATCGAAAATAGTGAAAATCAGGAATATGTTGTGGGGTAACTGCCAAATTACTATAAGTGAAAATTCAATGTCGCCAAATTACTAAATATGTCATATTTAATCGTTGGGCCGTGTTGTTGTGTATACATGCGTCATTTCTTGATTTTTTTTAACATTATTATTACGTCAGATGTGACGTGGATGGTCAAAACACCTTTTTTTATATATATATATATATATAGCAAAATATCTATGAAATTTTTTTTGTGCATATATTAATCATACGATAAATATCGAAAGTTTTTTGAGATCCCATTTTTAATCATTTAAAATAAACAGATATATATATATATTTTGAATCAGAAACTGGAAAATAAGAATATTTTATCTCACACACACACACATGTACATATATGTTATATTCTATTTATATTAAATTTCTAAATAATTTAAATTGAGCAAAAAAAATTGAAAGAATGGTCTAATACCCCACATTCTTTATCTAACCACATTCCTCTTTTGTGTTCACCATTTTTTATGCATAATTAAAAAACTTTATTCATATGTTTTAAAATATCATTTATTATAAACGAAAGAAAATATAATCAAATAATAATAATGATGATGATGATGATGATGAAGCTTTTTTATACTTACAAGTATATACGATAGATATAAGTAATACAAAAAAGGTAACCAAGATTTGCGATACAAATATAATAAGTATAATAATAATAATAATAATGAGAAATATGCATGTGATAAATATTTATGTACTTTATGTATATATATAAATATGTATATAATCGAATGAAAATTCTGAAAACTTAAAAAAAATTTTTAAAATTGGGTATGTGGCTTACATTTTTCACACTTTTAGCACAATGTAATTTCCAAATAACTTTCTCTTTTTTTTTTTACACATGTAGAAAATGGAAATAAATAATAATAATAATAATCAATCAAGACTACGACAACAACAATTTTGAATGTAATTTTTTTTAACAATGCCATTTACTTAAAAATAATACACAGTATATTATAAATGTACAATATGTGTGTAATAATGAAATATATATATATGTGAGTGTATATGAGAATATATAAGGAAATATATGTATATATGCCGTATATATGTATTATGTTATATTGGCTTGGGAAAAAAAGAATATCATTCGACACATTCAAATGGAATATTTTTCAATAGAGAAAAAATATCGAGCCATTGAAAAAAACATATATATTGAATTTTCAGTTTTCCAAATAAATAAATAAAGTTTTAATAATATTATAATAATAATAATAATAATAATAATAATAATAATAATAATAATTATGATAATGATGATAATGATAATAATAGTAAATTTTTTAATCTTGTTAACACCCCATTTTCATATGAAAATTTTACATAATCCCAAAATATTAATAATAATCATCATAAAATCTAATAATAATCTCGTTGATTATATATTATATATATATCTCTCTCTCTGTTTGTAAAAATAAAATAAAAAGAAATAAAATGTATATATATCATCTTTACCTTTATCTGAAAATAATGCATATAATCAAGCAAACAGAATTATGCAAATGATTTGAGCGTTTCACTAAACCTTACTTTATTTTACTTGAAAGTTACATTCAATCCGATTGAATATATATATATTTAAATTTATATATTTATATTTAAAGTGTTTTTTATTCCTTACCTTACTTATAAATCTTTTTATAGCATAATATCTTCGTGATTTTATTAACTGATTTATTTTAATTAATACTTTGATGGTTAAGTTGGAATCGATAGTTTAATTTATTTGGTTAAATCAATAAGCTCAATAAATTGATAGTTTAATATTTTAATTATACTCGAATAAATTAATTGATAATTTAATTTAGTGTTCACTTTGATATACATTAAATTAAATCGATATACTTGAGAGAGACATATATATTCCTTTTCTTATATAATATTATGATGATGATATACTTTAATCAATTAATCAATCAATCAATCAATCACATTTGATTATTAACCTCGTTGCATTTGATTCCTCTTGTTCGATTATTTTATTTTATTTTATTTTTTTTTGCAAGAAAAAAAAATAATAATCAAGATTTGAACCAATTAAAATACAAAAACAACAGTTAATCCAGTAAATCCATTAGGAACTCATTTACTTTAATAATGAAAGATTAACACCCATTGATGTAGAAGATTAAACACCAAAGAAACAATCTTTGAGAAAAACATTATAAAATGGATTTGACACGTGTTACCCTAACTGGATAATAATAATAATAATAATAAAAAAGTGGAGAAACAAAAATCTTTTTTTTGCATCCAAACAAATTAAAAATAGATCAATTCAGCCAGCCCATATAAATAATAATAATAAAATTAATTAATTCTATCTATTATATCTATTATTATTGAAGGTGATGATCTTTGATATACTTTGACGACTTCATATATTTTATTTATATCTTTTATTTACTTTTTGCACATCTTTTTTTTTTCATATCTTATTCATTATCTTTATTCATTTTTTATTTATTTTTTATTTATACCTTTATTCATAATGTGGTAAATGTGAATAAAAAGTGTTTGAAGTGTGTGTAAGTGTGTGTGTATGTGTGTGTACGGGGGTAAAAACACGCAATATTTTTTTCCTTATCATCATTTGATAAGCTATTATTATTTTAAATTATTAAAAGAAACTAATCCAAAAAAGTTTATTAACCTGTATCTTATTTCCTGTTAATTCTTTTTTTTCCAAGAATTCGGTTAATTTTATATTTTTATTTTATTAAATTTTTTTTTTGTTGTGGTGATACGATGTCATTTGAAAAGTCTGAGCTTTATCTTTTCTTCTTGTTTTTCTCTCTACTCTCTCTCTTTTGTTGATTTTCACGTGATGTCCAATTACTATTTTTTCTCAGTTTGTGGTATTTATATATGGTATATATAAGCATATTTATATTACCATTATACAAAATAAGAGGCGATTATTGGTTAAATATAATTATTTAACGGCTAGATAAAAAATCATCATTATTTTTTTTTTTATTATTGTTATTATTATTTATTTATTTATGTATTCATTTAATAATTAAATAATATAATATCTGTTAACATTTAGTTGAAATATGTTTTGTATATGCGATTACACAAATACAATGAAATGAAAGTTGGATACACAAACTTATCACATTTCTTTACAATCTTTAAAAAAAATTTTACTACGCGAAGATTTTTCTTAATTAATAAATTTGTATTTAAATTTGTATTTAATTTGTATTTAATTTTGATATAATTTGGATAAAATTTGGATAAAATTTGCGCCAATATCGTATCGTAGAAATCTACAACAAATTATTTATTTATCGTAATTTATCGTAATTAAGATATAGAATTAGAAATTATCAATTTAATCAAGAATTAAAGAATCATCAATTCAATAAATTAAAAAAATTAGTTTCACCTCACCCCAAATTTAACTAAATCGGATTGTGTTTTTATTTAAAAAAAAACAAAAATATATTATTAATAATAATAATAATAATAATAATAATAATAATAAAGGATAAATCTTTATTAAAGACGATCCATTATTCATACCATAAATAACAATAATATTAATATTAATAATAATAATCAATGTAATTCCAAGAGAAATTCTAAAAAAAAAAAAAAAAAAAAAAAAAGGGCAAATATTACGTATTTATATCTTTTTTGAATTTATCTAAAATTAAAAAAATTATTATGTATAAATTTAATATATACATCTATATATATTTAATACATTAAAAAATTAAGTGGTAATTTTCTTTTTTGCACTTTTCATATGATTACATATGGATCCTCTGCAATAAATAAAATAAAAAATAATCATTACATAATCTTATTGGCTCGCCCCCACTATATGCTTCATTTTTTTAAAATTATCACAATTTCCCACATTTCTTTACATGACTTGAAACAATTAAAAGTATAAATATATCAGATATCAGATATCAGATATCAGATATAATTATAATGGTAACTATAATAATAATAATAATTACAGTATTCCTTTCATTTTAAACTTTTTTAAATAAATCAAATAAAGAATTAATTCAGATGTAATAATGATAAAAAAGAAATCTACCTTTTCATTCTGTCTCTTTTTTTTTCTTTTTTTTTTTATTAGTAATGGGATGATATAATCAATACTGCTTAATTGGTAGGACTTTATCCTTTTTTTTTATCCAATCAATAAAAATTTTTTTAAAATAGTTAATGAATTACATAAAAAACGATACCATCATTAATATTATCTAATATTTTTTAATATTTTTTTCACCTCCGATAAAAGATCCGCGAGAAAAAAAAAGTAAAAACAAATTAAAATTTCATTTTAGCCTTTATATGATATATTCTCTCATTCATTATCCTTTATATCATCATTTATATCATCATCGTTATTTATACCTTACTAATGTCTTTATTGTTTTTTCATCGTTTCGAAAAAAAAAGTTTCTTCCTCAATCTAAATTTAAATTATTACTTTTTTTTTTTTTTTTTTAAGTAATTTGTGCCTAAGGGATTTTTATTTTTATATAATTGATAAAGTAGCAATTGTTTTAGAAGTAGTTCACGAGTCCAGTTAGTACGGTTTTTTCTTTTTTTTTTTTTTTCCTGTGCTGAAACGTTCGTACGCATAAGAGAGCAAAGTTTAGTATTGTTGGTGATGGTTTTGCGCATTTGCGTTAAGTTTTCGCGTGATTTCTTGAACTCCTTACCTTTAATTACTTGTTTCCTTACTTGTTTCCTTACTTGATTACTTCGCTTTGATTACTTGTTTGATTACTTGTTTGATTACTTGCTTGATTTACAACTTAACAACTTTTTATTTCATTATGTGATTATCAATCATCACCATCATTAACATGTAATAATAATTAATAATTTTAATAATACGGAATGAAAGGAAAGAAAACGGAATGAAAGAAACTGAAATAAAAAATTTATCAATTATTATTATCATCAAATTATTCAATTAAAAGATAATATAGTACAGCATTAGCATATATTGTATAAAAGCATCATAATGTAAAAGTAATTAAAGTATTATTATGTGTGTTATGTGTGTATGCTAAAAAATCAAAAAAAAAGATTATTATATATTTACTACGCCATATTTTCTTAATTGTTTATTATTATTATTATTATTATTATTATTATTATTATTATTATTATTATTATTATCAAGTATTTTTTATATATCGATTTTCCTTTTATATTAATAAATAAAAAATCATGCCATAAATTTCTGCCATTTCTGCCGTAGTGTTCTTTTACTTTAAAAACTCTCATGGTTGGTTGTTTTAATTATCTTTCGATATTATTAATATATTTATTTATTTATTTATTTATAGTATTTTATATTGTATTTTATTTATTTATTTTACTTTATTCACTTAGTTTATCGGTCTCAATTGTCAATTAATTACTCTCAGATATTCAGATAACAAAAAAATAATAATAATAATAAATAAATAAATATATATATAATAAACTATTTTAAACTATAATATTATCTAAATCGATTGTAGCTGTATTGATTATTTGTTACTGTATATATTTATAAAACGCCGATTGTTCTTTTATCTTTTTTGAAATTTTATCGCAATTATCATTAAAAATTTATTTATTTATTTATCTATCATCATTATCAATTTTTTTTTTTTTTTTTTTTTTATTACTCTTCCCTGTGGTATAAAACCCCTCCAATTTTCTTTTCGTGGACTTTTTCTTACAAAATATTTTTTTTAAATCATTTTTCAAAAAAAAAAAAATTTTTTTGAACAATTAATAAATTCTTCCTTTTGATTATTAATTTATTTCACATTGTATAGTTTTATTTATATTTAGCTATTAAAGTATATTATATAATGATAATAACCAACTTAATTTTAATTCAATTTATTATTAATATTTATTTATTTTAATCCAATTTTTATATAAAAGAACCATCTTTGCTTTTCGGATTTTTTTTTAAAAAAAATTTTTTTATTTTTCACTTCTCAAAAAAAAATATTCCTAAAATTTTACGATTTTAAACGATTTAACATATTTATTAATCAATAACTGAATTGATAACGAAAGTAAGTTTTAACTTTTCACTTTACCCTCTCACTTTCTCATTCTCATTCTCATTTCCTTTTCCTTTTCGTTTTCGTTTTTCTTTTTCTTTTCTTTTTCTTTTCCTTTCTCTTTTCCTTTCTCTTTCTTTCTTGTTCCTTCTCCTTCTTTCTCACACATTTAAACGCGTTTCTTTTATCTACTTTTATCTACTTTTATCTACTTTTATCATCCTTTATCATCTTTTCTCTTTCTTCACTTCATTATTGATAAAACTTAGTAACACTGAATAAATTTTTTTTGAAATTGTTACACTGTTTATGCATACATTATCATTTTAATATACTCGTATATACAATAATATATTAATTTATATATATATTTATAATATTATTATTTATTATTTTTTTGTAGAATATTAAAAAAAAAAAAATACAATAATAATATAATTATATATTCAAAAATGCCTTACGCTGGACCTCTCCCATCATCAAAAATTGTCTCTATCCCTTCTGGTAATCCAAATTATCGAACTTGGCCATTAGCAAAAATAACTTTTGGAATTTCTAAAAAGAAACAAGAAGAACTAAATGATTCAAATTCTATTCTTCCATCATTATCATCCCCATTATTATTATTATCATCATCATCATCATCATCATCATCATCATCGATTACTACAACTAAAACTTCAGAATCTTCCATTATGGTAAAAACTGTTGAAATTGTTGAAAAGAAATCCGAACCTCAAATGATTAAAAATAATAAAAATGATGATGATAATAAAAATATTGAAAATGATATGGATCGTGATAATGCGTTAAAACAAGTTAAAGATATTTTATCTACTTCACCTCAATTATCAACATCTCCAAGACGAAAATCATCTCCTGAAATATATTCAAGAAAATTATCTCTCAAAGTTGATTTATCATCCACTCAACAACAATTCATATCAGAAATGTCCCCATGTTTATTAAGAAAAAAGAGTGGTGAAATAATAAAACCTTCACTTAAAAGGGGTAAATCTGAACCAGTTACTCCAACTTTCTCTTGTTTTCCTAAATATGTTCGTTTTGATTCAACAAACCTTGAACAAGTAAAATTATTTGATGGAGCTAAAAGACCACAAGCTGTTAGTGCTGAAGCATCATCAGATGAAGATACAGATAATAGTGATGAATTTGATTTTTCCGTATCAGATTCTGAAGAAGAAGAAGAAGAAGAAGAAGAACTTATAATTAAGATTCCAACCTTACCACAAATAACTACGGAACATTGTTCAAAATATGTATTTGTTGAATCCATCTTTTTATCAACTGATAAAAGAAAACTTCAAGGTCGTGTTCATGTAAAAAATATCGCATTTCAAAAAATTGTTCGAATTCGATATACTTTTGATTTTTGGCAAACTGTATCAGAAGTTACTGCGAAATATGCAACAACATCGACAACAAATGTTGAAGGAGGAACAAGTTATAATAATAATAATAATAATAATAATAATAATAATAGAAATAAGTTAAATGATTTTGATCTATTTCATTTTTCCATTGAATTAATTGATAATTCAAGAAATCCAATTGATGGAAAGGTTATGTATTTCGCTGTTCATTATAAAGTTAATGATTGTGATTATTGGGATAATAATAATGGACAAAATTATCAAGTGAATTTTAAACGAGTTTCATCAAATCAATCCTTAAATCAAAAAAAAAAAAATAATAATAATAATTCATATTATTTTAATAATAAATGGTCACCATCAACATCATTATCAAAATTATCATCACGACGTGCAAAAACTTTGGAAGCAAGTTCTCCACCTGCAATTACAAAAAATATGACTAAAAAGTCAAATAGATATGATTTTAGTGTTTCACTATCAGCAGCTAAGAATTTAACTCCAACTGTTGTTAAAAATTCATTATCATCATCATCATCATCAACAACAACAACAGCATCAACAACAACATCTTCGTCGTCATCAAAAAAATCATCATCATCATCATCATCATCAACTACATCATTGTCAACATCATCGTCATTAACATCATTATCGTTATCGACAAGAATTAATAATAATAATAATAATAATAATGATAATGATAATTTAAAGACACCACTAACACCAGGAGATGATCCCATTCATCAATATTTTCCCACAATTTCATATGGAAATGAAAATTATAATTCATTCTTTCCTGGTAATTATATTGATGGTATGCCGAGTACAACAGAAATATCAACTTCTTCATGGGATGACGTGAAATCATCATCAAACCCAATCGCTATTCCTTCTACAAAATCACCAATTGGTTCATCTGCTTATTATGATTTAGTTAATCAATATTGTTTTTATCAAGGATCCCCTTATACCGCAGGTTCCCCATATGCTGGTTCCCCATATACCAGTTCCCCATTTAGTTCTCATTCGGTGTTGACATAAATTTATTATCATCATTATCATCACATCATTATATCATTCTTTTAAATCGTTAAATTATCATTTTTTTATAGTATTATTATTATTATTACTTTTTTATTACTATTATCTATTACAATTAATTCGATATATATATATCTCGAATAAAATTGGACGAGAAATATGGAATAAAAAATATTAATATTATGGTTCTTCAATTATTAAAAAGTTATGCGACAAAAAAAAATTAAGTTTTACATTATTATTTCAAAAATCGGTTATTTTTCTGACGATATTATTCTTTTAGTAATATCAAAAATAAAAAATGACATTTTTCATATCTATTATTTTTTTATTATTGGCTTTACCGTAATGAGAAAGTAATATTATCAAATAATATCATTGGTGGAGTAAAAAAAAAAAAAATAGATGAATTAAGATGGACGCAAAAAAAAAAGAATTTAGGAAAAAAAATTTTTAGATGATCTATATAATTATGCCAAATATTTTTTTTGTATATTTGCATTTTTCTGCATAGAAATAACAGCATTCACCCACCCTTTCATCACATTTTTCATTTTATATTATAATTCAAAAAAAAAAATTCCCCCAAGAAAATAAATTTGTAAATGTTTTTTGTAATTTAAAAAAAAAAAAAAAACGTTATAAATATTTAGTGTTTATATAGTAATCATCATTATCGTACGGAATTTACAGAATTATTAGTAGAATGTTTTCCTTCTTTTCATCACCCTCCACCTTTATTGTTTTGTGATAGCTTTCTTATTACTACAAAATATCATGTGTCTTTTTTTTGATATTAATAACATTTGTTTTCTAAAAAATAACAATAATAGAGTTTTTTTTTTTGAAAATAAAAAGTGGTATTTTTATATATAAAATTTATCTTTAAAAGTTTTAAGTGTTTCGTCAAAATTTGATCATATGATAATATAGATATATATCAAGATTGTGTAGTAGGTAGATCGTGCATTTGATTCTTTGATTTAAATATATATGGTTTTTGTGAATGGGATTTGTTTTTCAACAATGTCAATAATGTCACGAGAAAGGTTTGTTGTTTTGCAACATTATTTCTTTTTTTTGGATAATTATGTTTGGACATATGATAATACGATACGTGTAACGCTAGGTTTTGATAAGAACCTGTTGATGTTACACTAACTACAGCCCCAAAACATCAAGTAAATTATTAAACCCTTATTTGTACAAACTCTATCTTCGTTCTTAAAAAAGAATATTATTATTTATTTAGATCATTTACAAAAACAAGTAGGTATATTTGTAAATAATTACAAATATGTCAAAGAAAAGTTGATTGTTTAAACACAAGTTATTATGTTTCCCAATAACAGAATAATTTTGAATTAAATATTTAAAGTATTAAATTTATTATATTGTTACTTAAAATTTTATCAATATAAATTTTAGAACAAAATTAACATTTGTGATAACTACTCACTTGTCTACAATAAATATATAAAATTTATCTCTAAGTGCAGTTAATAGTAGATATTTCAATACTGGCTCAAATACATAATTAAAATCAAAAATCATCTAAGTTCATTACATCTAGATATCTACTTCAAACTTAAATTTATTTTATTAGAATAATTATTTATCTTAAAGTATTATTTAAATTTGTATACTTTTAGATAAAGATAGTATCTTTAATGTTACAGATTTTTGAAAAGAATTGTGATATAAATTTACAATTCTACAATTAATTATAAACTTTTGTGTAATAATGAAGTGTATATTCAAAATTTAATATTTTTTTTATTTCTATTAATAATTTTTAATCAAAATATTTTAAAACAAAATTTATTGATTAAAAAATTAATTTTAAAAATAGTTATCATATAATTTAGAAAAATATGTAGAATTTTGTTAGTTTAATATATCTGAAAAATGTCATTTTAATATATTTCCTTTTTAACAAGAAAAATTTAATAAAAATAATATAAATTATTACAATTAGAAATTGAATACAAATTTTTCAAGAATATTATAAAAAATAATATAATATTATCTTTTAATTATTCATGTAAAATACAAAAATCAAAAAGAAATCAAAATATTTTAAATATTGTTAACTGAGATTTACCTTCAAAAGAATTTAATAAATTAGTAACTAAAAGTAGAAAAAATACATATGTATAGTAAACACTAAAACAACTATACTAAATATATTTTTGTTGAACAAGTTATATTATAAAGAAAGTATAAATATGAAAATTTTGTTATTACAGATTTATTCAAAAGAAACTAAAAAATGTGAAATTTTTAATAAGGATATGTGTTACTAAAATGATATTTTACTAAGAAGAGTTACTAAAATGATATTTTACTAAGAAGAGTTACTAAAACAAGTCACTAAGACAAGTTACAAAGACAAAACTATATTATTTAAGTCACTAAGACAAAAACTATAATAAATACTAGTTACAAAGACAAAAGTAATTCACTAAGAATTTAAAAAGAGATTTCACTAAGAAACTAAAAAGTATTTTCATTAAGAAAATTAATAATAACTTTATTAAAATTATTATCAAGACTATTACAAAGAAATAATTCATCAAGAATTATTATATATTATAAAGAATTTTATTAATTACAAGTTAAAGAACTGAGAAGAAAGAAATTCAGTTCTTTATATATATATTTGAAGTTATAATAGATTATACTGTAAACTATACTAATGCATATACTATTAATTACACTATACATGTTTTCAAAATTGATTTTGAATTTTTGAGATATTTTAACTTTGAAATTTATGCAAAATCTATTCTATATATGGAAATAAAAAAAGTATCCAGTTATGTATATATTCAATTAAAAAATAAATCTGGATGGTCAAAAAATTTCAGATTTTAAGTAAAATAATTTTGTCTTTTATGAAAAATTACATTAATATATAAATTATCTATTACACTATCTACTACACTGTTTATTATACTTTTGATTATACTGTTGATTATATTTAGAGTTGTTAATGAAGTAGTATATTCCGGAATAACTTCAGATTATAATTCACTCTATTATGGAATGAGTTGAGAATCTCAATTATGTAGTAATCCAGGTTATAATATAATTATAACTCCAGATTTATACTTGCATGTAAAATTATTTTGAGATCCCGAAATTACAATTTCGGAGAAAAAAGTCAAAATAGTTTTTTATAAAAGACAAAATTATTTTAATTAAAACCTGAAATTTTTTGACCATACAGATTTATTCTTTAATTAAAGATACATATAACTGGATATTTTTTTACTTCTATATTTAAAATAAATTCTGTATAAATCTCAAAAAATCAAAATACCTCAAAAATTCAAAATCAATTTTGAAAATATATATATTCAGATTACTTTAGATAATTTACTTCAAGTTGCTCCATATTGAGCACTAATTTTATTGGTTAGAATTTTAATAACTAATAATCAATTTGATTTTTGTTTATAAATTTTTTTTATCATAAATAAGAAATCAAAAACTGGTAAAGATTTTATAATACATTTTCAAATAGTGAACCTGAAGAATCTAACTTATTTGTTTATTTTATTTTCTAAATTATATTTTTACACCTTCATGACATACCTTTCACCTTAAATACTCTCACAATAAAAATAATTATATTATTTTTTGAATATTAAGTTGATATTATATTGTAATAAGATAATGATAATAATAATGAAAATAAAAAAAAACATCTGTCAAACTTAAAAATAACAAGAGAAATTCACAATATTTCCAAATGATAAATAACTTTAGAAAAGATTAAAAGAAAAACGTATTTTGAAACAAAAATAAAATTATCAATTTTGAGAAGAATAAGAATAATTATGACAAGAAATAAAAAGACAATGAGCTGAAGAACAAATAATAAAAGAAATAATTTGATAATTACAATTACAAGAACTCAAAGCCGTCTAGCAATTAGAAATGGAAAACTATCAGAATCGTTGATGAGAAGGAGAAGTTCAATGAAATCATCAATAAAGAAAAGAATAAGATATTAACTAGCGAGAAGAATAAAAATAAAACAAAAACAGAGAAGGCAACTAGAAAAATAATAAAGGAGAAGACCAATATAAGTAATACAAGTAATTTTACTTGAACTTTAATATCCACTATATCAAAATCATCTAAATCTCCAGAATCATACATTGCAAAGATTTTCACAATTTCTAAGATTTAACATTACTGTAAATACAACGTGAACTCAATCTACAGTAATCCACCTACTTATACAGAGAGAGTTCATAATGTTATTCCAGCGAAAAAAGCCATACAGATCACTGTTACCTATTATTGATGATTTTAATAATTAAGTGAATTTATTAATTATAAACATTATACAAAATTAGTCAATAAAAATCTATCTTTAATAAATTTGAAGTTAAATAAACTAGGACAATAATTATAAGTAACTTGGAATAACCCAAAGTAATTGGAATAATCTGAAGTAACTTGGAATATAAAGCAAAGTATAAACCTAGAGTATTTAATTTAGATTAAGTTGAGTTGTCCTTTACATCACTATAATATAAATTCAACTCAACCCACTTCACTCTATTAACAATTCTAATTATATCATAGATTACACTTTAATTATATCAAAGATCTATAGTTATAATACTTAATAGTTATATTAATTTTTAACTGATTTATATTGATAAAATTATATTAATATATATTAAATAATATATAAAATATAGATGATAAAATAGATAATAATAAATAATAAAAGAATAAAACTAACAGTATAAAAAATTAACAAAATCTTTTTTAAAATTATATAAAAAGTTTATTTACTGTAAATTATATTACCAATTAAAAATTTTAAATATTATATCTATTTGATATCCAATAGATACAGTATTTATAAATTTTTGACTAGTGTATTTGTATACTTTTATACTTTTATTTATTTTTACATTTTTAAAAATATTTTTTATTTCATGTCTTCTCTTATTCTAAATTTATTTTTTTTCTTT